CCACTTCTGTTTAATATCATTATAGATGTACTGATTTTCCCCAACCCTGACTGAATTCAGCGACTCTGAGATTGACTTGTTACATGGTTGCTGTTCTACCTGAACTAGTTGTTGCTGAGTATATGTGTATATGAACAGAAACATACAAAAATATGAGGACTTAATTTATCCGAGAGATTACCATGGGCGCATTCATCTGCGCCTTTAAAAACCATATCATCAAGATTCTCAGACAATTAGCTCGTGACATCTCAAGGAGGCCGACAATCCAGTTTACACTTCCCTGCGTCGCTGGATCAAACCGACAGTTGAAGACTTTATGGACTGATGTTTTGCTTTGACCAAGTCGAGCACTTCTCCAACCCAGTACTGTTTCAGATAGCATTGCTTGTCAAGAAAGGCAGTAAATTGGGATCACCAACCCGTACCCTAGCCATCTCAACCAATATAGATTCACCACCTTTTCGACTAACTAGCACTTTACGTCGGACCTCAATATTCCTCACCATATTATACCACTCAACACAGGAGGTAGAACGTAAACAACTGTGGTCATAGACACCGGTAGCCTTTTTTCAAATTTGCCACTTTTTCATTGGCTCTGTCATGTGGTGTCTTAAAAAAAAGGGTAGAGCGAACTGTACACACGCGATTCCCTTCTTCGCTACGTGCTATACTACTGACATATCATAATTTCAATGTTTTTTAAATATCTAATGAAAGTTGTTATTTGAGAAATTTGTTTTTAACAAACTAAGCCTGAATGACCTCAGTTGTTATGCATTGAGTGAAAGTACTCAAATTCTCTTACACCTACATCCTGTTTTTTTTGGTGGTGGTATTGGTCTCGCTTAAACTTTTCTCCCTCTCTCTCTCTCTCTGTTAGCGATATTCATCGCTAGCATACCAACGCGCACATACATGTTAATCCTGTCTGTCTATCCTTTTACAGTTATCCTTCCACTCAATAGCTTCCTGTTTATTATTATTATTATGTGGTCGTTTTGAAATAGTACGCTTTCTAGTATTATTATTATATTATGCGTGTTTCTTTTCTGAATGCTGTAATAGACATTAATCTTGACATTCGATTTCTTCTCTCATTTATGTACAAATATTTAGCGTAAGTGAATATATCATCGAGTTAGGGAAATTATATTTTCGTGGCATTATTCACCCTTTGTTTTGACCAATAATGTTGGTTGACACTGTACTACTGGGTTGGAAAACAGGGTTCAGCTGTTAGCTAGCTTTGATTCGGTGAAGTCTAGACTAACTGCTTAGGTGCCTCGTGATGTTAGGAGACAATCGCCTGAGACTTATATAAGAATACAACTTGTGGATGAAATTTATTTCGATAAAGTCTCACAGTGTTTGTTATACAGCAAAATGTTTACTGTTATGCTTTGTAGAACTCTGAAGACTCTCAGTCAGTAGGGCGAGTGGTGGTATCCCATTGGGCCATCATATCGTTGACATTGTCACCGATAGCCACTTGATTTTATGCAACACATTTGCTACAATAATTTAGTCAGGCTGTGAGCATCCACTGTAGCACTCGCAGCTCCCAACCTTGTGTCTCTTCAGGTAAAACAAAAAGTCTTTTTAGAAGAATTTACACACGTACGTATAAAAATTTATGTGATGAAAATCGTTTCAGGCATCAACTACCTAACCTTCTTTGCACTAGTAAATAAACCATTTTTCCCATCCTTATTCCATCAAGCTTTATTGTTATTTTACTTCTTATATTTATAATCCTCTCAATTTCTATCCCTCATAAGTGTAAGCATCATTTAAGCCGTGTTCTAACTGCTAATTTTGTCTTTATCCTCAGCATGCTAAATCACCAGAACGTTAGATTCAATAATCTATGAGATGCTAACATTTCCGAACTGAATCGACAATACTGTTTGAAACAGACCGACTCTTATTATTATTATTCTCATTTTTACTTCGAATATTCCTTGACTGTATACCGTAAACGTGGACGAATTCCTCTGGCTTATTTTATTTATATTTTGAGTAAATCAGATGCAATATTGTGACAAATCCTGAGAATTCCATTCTGTATTCTAAGTACTGTTCGTCTTGGAATAAAGCAGATTACTATTATCATTATTATTATATACTCACAAAATAAGGTGGGACAGGATTGAAGTAATACAGCTGAGTCGAAAGAGAGAATTAGTCAGTGGGAATCAATGCTCGTCAAGTCAGTATTCAGTATGTGTGATGGTGATGTCTCAACATTCCATTATGGGTGAAATTTATTTTGATGAAGTCTCACAGTGTTTGTTATACAGTAAAATGTTCACCGATCACTACGTTTCGAGCGCAATTTATAGACGCATATGTTCAAATCAAGGTACTATTCACACAACCTTCTAACTTTGTTTATGTAATTCCACTATTATTCATCGCTTGACTTGATTAGTGGTAGTGGTAGTATTTTCCATATTTCTGATATGAGCGATGAGTCATTCCTTTCTCTCTCTCTCTCTCCACTTACCTAGATTACTTCTCATAATTTCAACCATCTCACACCACCCTATTGTGTGGTTGTGTGTTAATTCATGGATGCAGTGCAATGTAATGCTGAGCTGTTTTCTAAATTGCTTATCTTTTCGGGGTCAACCATTCTCACCTTAGCGAAATTCTTATGTTCCGACAATCTGACTACCACTGACCCACTATTAGTTTGACTGACCTATGTAGTTGACCTTACTCACAGTCATTGTAGGGTAATTTGTGAATTATATTATTTTGTCTAAGTGACACTATGAGACTTTATCAAAATAAATTTCACCCATAATGGAATTTTACTCAACCATAGCGCACAAGTTTTTATTCTTATAACAAGCTCTGTAGGTTGAATGACCCTGTCGGTTGACCCAATGTGACGAAATAATATAATTCACAAATTACCCTACAATGACTGTGAGTAAGGTCAAGTACACAGGTCAGTCAAACTAATAGTGGGTCAGTGGTAGTCAGATTGTCCAAAAGTGAGAATTCCGCTAAGGTGAGAATGGTTGACCCCGAAAAGATAAGTAATTTAGAAAACAGCTCAGCATTACATTGCACTGCATCCATGAATTAACACACAACCACACAATAGGGTGGTGTGAGAGGGTTGAAATTATGAGAAGTAATCTAGGTAGGTGGAGAGAGAGAGAGAAAGGAATGACTCATCGCTCATATCAGAAATATGGAAAATACTACCACTACCACTAATCAAGTCAAGCGATGAATAATAGTGGAATTACATAAACAAAGTTAGAAAATTGTGTGGTTGGCGCCTTCATGTGATATGGTTATGAGCAGTAATAAATTGTTCTCGAAACGTAGTGTGAACATTTTACTGTATAACAAACACTGTGAAACTTTTGCAATTGCAAATCATCCACCTGAGTTACAAATCTTTTCTACTGTGAGACTTTATCAAAATAAATTTTACTCACAAGTGCTTGAGACTATTGGCTATATATCTTGAAATCGTTCTAAAGGATGGAGAAGAATCCTTTTATTGTAGTTTCTCAGGTAAATTAAGTCGTCATTGTTTTTGCATGTTTCCCTTTTTTTCTGTACATGTTACATGGTGTAGCTGACATAGGACTGCATTGGGAAGGGGTTAGGTTTGATCAGACGATAACTTTGTGTCAATCAATCCATCAGGTCTTTAACAGGTGGTCACGTGGGGAGTTGCAGACTAGCTTGTTCTGGGGTCATTCGGGTTATGAGAACCAGTGTCTTCAGACTGTTGATGATATAGTTCGAAATCCTTCTCAGTGGTATAAATGTATTAACCCTTTGAAATCTTTAAAAGCCAACTGTCTTTGATCATAGGTGTCTGTGTTCTTTCTCCCATATTAGAATGAGGTGGTATAATAAGGTGAGAAATATGGAGGTTAGGCTTTGGTCAAGTGCTACGTATGGAGGGGAGGGGGAATCAATCACGAGGTTGTGAAGTTCACGGATTGAGAGAGAAATGTGTTACGTATGTCTAGTCATCGCCTTCGTCGACTAGGGGCAACATTAGCTGACATAAGATGGATCAGGTTGAAAAAGAGCTAGCCAGTGGTGATCAAACCAAAACCCTTTATCAGTCAATGAAATCCATAACAGTTAGTTTAATCCATGTAGGAAGTTGTAGACTTCCTGGCTGGTTATGGTCATCGGAACGGTAAAAAATAATGGCTGGGGACAATCGGTTGTAGGCCTCAAAATCGTTCTCAATGGCTGGCGCAGATGCATCCACTCCATGTGACTTATAATTTCCAATGAAACTATTTGTCCTCTCTCTATCATATCCCTGTCTACATTCTCTGTTTTGCATTTCTATTATGCATTTCTTCTCTTGCTTTGTGTGCTACAAGAAGGTAGTGTGGCGATTTGAACTGCTGCGTATCGGTGCGAAGTCCTATGTTGAAAACAGGCAGACAATAATAATAATAATTCACTTTATTCCAAAAACAGTACTTGTGATACAGAATGGAATTTTCAGCATTAATCACAATATTGCATCTAATTTCCTCAAATTATAAATAAAATTAATCACAGAAAATTTTCCACATTTACAATAGAGGTAGTGTCAAAAACATGCAGCATATAAAATGGAAATAATAATAATAATGATAACAGCTAGGGTAATAATAATAAGAATACAAGTGAAAATTGCCGTTGGCTTGTGTCACACAGTATTGGCAATGTGGTATAGAAATCCTAACATGTTTAAAAATATTGAATATAATGTTCTCTTTACATGATATGGTGAGGGGAAAAACAAAGATTACAGCCGTCATGGAGATAAGTTGGTGTTTGCAATTATGAGAGTAAAACAGAGAAGTAACAGGACCATAAATATAATAGAAGTAATAAAAGTAAAACTTGAAGGTATATAAGGATGGATGGAGGAAATTGTTTATTTACTAGATGAAAAAGGTTAGTTAATTCTTGCCTGACACTATTTTCATCACATAAAATACGTGCCAAGTATGGTATCATAGAATTCTTTTACTTAGACGTGCGAGCATACAGTTTTCTGAAGTTACTCCTTGTTCTACCTGAGGAGATGCAAGGTGAAAGCTGAGGGTAAAGCGGATGCTCCAAGTCAGACAAAATCCCTTTAGCAAATTTATTGCACGAAGTCAAGTGCCTATCGACAACGACGTTAACTATGTGGTCCACTGGGACACCACTCACCCTACTGACAGTCTTCAGTATTCTACGAATTGTGACATAGTCTTTTTTAAGCAAACCAGGAAAGAATAAGGGTGAGCAATAAAGAAGAATAGGTAGGATGCAAGAGTTTACGAACTGTAGGATGAGGGGTTGAGTTATACCCGAGTGTCTTAACTTCTTAATGTAAAATGTCAGGCGGAATATTTTACTGGAGATTGCTAAGACATGGGAAGACCAGGAGAGATCAGAAGAGAGAATGAGTCCAAGATACTTAATTTCTGATTTGATTCCTATATCATTGTCGTCAATTTTACAAGTGTCATGAGAATCGATGACTTCTTTTAACTGTCGTTTACATCTTAAGCTGAAATCAACAGTTTGACACTTAGAAGGATTCAGTTTAAGACCGTTAGACTCAGACCATTTGCTGACTTCCGATAGAAAGCTATTTATTTTAGTACAATCTAGCTGGGAGTTAACAGCCATTGAAACCGTTAAATCATCAGCGTACTTCACAAAGTTTATTTCATCAGAGTGAGGCAAGTCATGCAAGAAGAAAGAAAAAAGAAAAGGAGAAAGAACAGCACCTTGAGGGACACCAGCTTCAGTAGGCAATGAAGTGGAGGACTTCCCTTTATATACGGTGTACTGCTTTCTATCTGAGAAATAGGAATGTAACCAGTTAACAGCCCAACATTCTGTTTGACTAGCAGCAAGTTTATTTAATAAGATGTCCCTAGGGACCGAGTCGAAAGCAGATGTATAGTCTAGGAAGGCGCAACGAACAAATTTAGCCCCCTTGTCTAGACTGGAAGCAATGTTATGATATAAGACGGCAGCTGCATCTAAAGTGCTTCTACTGTGCTTATAGGCAAATTGTTTAGGGTCATTAAAGGATTTAAGCGAAGGTTCAAGACTAAGTAAAAGTAATTTCTCCATAGTTTTCAAAAAAGGAGACGTAATAGCAATGGGTCTAAATTTGACACATGCTCCAGTAGAAGATTTAGGTATGGGTACAACTTTAATGTCCTTCCAAACGGCAGGCACAATATTATCGGAAAAAGATTTGTTAAATAGATCAGTAAGAGGGTGACACAGAATATCAGAACATTTTTAAAAAATAATACTAGGTACATAATCGGGACCTAAGCTCTGGGAAGGGTTTAGAGACTTGAGGCACTTTTGAACATCATTTGTGTTAAAACCTGGAAAGGGGCTATTATTAACACAAGTGATGCTGGGAAGCATGGCATTTGAGGGAGAGTAAATAAAAGATTTGTTAAGAGTACATACATCAAAAGAATATGGAATATTGTTTATCTGCTTACCACCAGTGATTTCCTTAAATAGTTTCCACATATTAGAAGGATTTTTGCAGGATATGAATTTCTGGTTATATATTACATTCAACCTCTGCATTTCAGACTTAATTAAGAAGTTAGTTCTTTTTACACCACTTTTATCTTTCATCTTATACAGTTTTTCCTTCTCTCTACGAAGCTTTTTAAGTTGAGGCGAGGAGAAACGGTCAAATTTGACGAATAGTGTTTCTTTTGGACAACAGATTTCAAAACAGAATTTCAGATAGGATGTAATATTAGAGATATTGTCATCAAGTGAATCATCATTAAACAAATCCCATCTTGTGTCACTGAGCATGTTTCTAAGATGATGTACGTTCTCATTTGAGTAGCATCTGTGAACAACTTTCTTAGACAAGTTTGAGAGGCTTTACTGTGTAACTTTCCGTAAATTTTGGGTAAGACTCGTACAATACAATGATCAGAATTGAAGAGCGGGCTCTTTTACGAGCTTCGTATATTCCAGAATCATTTATAAATACTAAATCAAGTGAAGTATTTTGTCGAGTTGGGAAATTAACAACATTTTCATGGCCCAGCAATGTAATAAAACTGCAGTCGCTGGAGTTGAAGTCGCCAGTCACTATAGATAAGGAGTTACCAAACGAAGCAGCAGCAAAAATAGTGAATTCATCAGCGAAGATAGATAGTTCTGAGGGACTGCAACAAGGTGTGATATAGATATTTGTGACAAAAATGAAGCTATACTTAGATAAGTGTTTAGGTCGACATTTTACAGTTATACAGTCAATATTGTCATTTGAGAATTTGAAGCAGACGTTGTTGGCAGTAGACCACTGAGAATTAATAAAAGTGGCAACACCACCACCTCTCTTCTTCTTTGAGCTGCATCGGTCTTGTCTGTAGATTGTGAACCCACTTAAGGAGACTAAATTATCGTCATATGAATCATGGAGCCAAGTTTCTTGAAGAGTGATTACACCAGTATTACAATATACATTTGAGTATAATAGAGAATGCAAGTAGTTAATCTTGTTCGATAATGACCTGCAATTTGTGCTCATAATCACAGGAACAGTCATCTGATGCATTGGAGTACACTTTAATGATCTCTGCCAACCTCCATGATGCTTTTTCTTAACGTTATTATATACTCGTAAATCAACGGGTTGAAGACATTTTAAATAATCGCGAGAGTAAGTAATGCGACTTGGATACATAATTGAATGATTAAAACAAAATAAATCCGAGGAAATAGATGCAATATGTAGGATGGAAATTTTGGTAGCCCAAGATTTAAGCAGGCCGCCGTATTACATGGGATAGAACCATTGATGTTTCCCTCTTCGATGTCAAAATGTCGGTCACCGATTGGTTAGTCATTTGACATATTGAAGATAACCCAAAATCATTAAAAAAAATCATATCCTTCGCGTTTCCCAGGAGAACATAGGCCTTCAAGCTAGTGGCTTGAAGTTTCTGTAGCAGTGTTTATTTTACACGATGGGGTTGCTGACCTCATGCCCAACCTTTCCTCTTTACCAGCATTATTTCTGGCTTAGCGAGGTAAAGGAGTGCGTTGGTGGTCGGGGATCGAACCCCGGACCATATGCATGGTCGGTGAGCGACCTAACCGCTATCCCACCAATGCACTAAGATAACAGATATCTCCATGAATTCTTAACATTTACCTGTGTTGTTTTTTCTGTTTTGTTTCTCATAAATTTTTCATTACCTTACAGCAATTGAAGAGATTCTCTTGTCAGCGAATTCATTGAATCTCAGTCGCCTGCATTCATTGAGTCAAATGTCAAAACTGCATGGTGTAAATAATTATTCCAATTCTGGCAGTAAATTGAATACTAGTAAATATTCACGTTCGCTTACTTGTCAACTGAGAAACTCCGATGATAGTAATGATAGTGGTAACCAGGGTAAATGTCGAACAAAAGTTCCAAAGTTACAAAGGCGATTCTCATTATGTTCAAATTTTCATCAACAAATGGAGTCTTCTTCAAATGCTACATTTCAACCACCTGTTTTCAGTATCCGTAAGTTTTGAATTTTATATATATATATATATTCTCTGTTTACCTATATACCTATGTATTTTATTATCCCAGCCATTTGTGTTCTGTATAAGTAGGATTCTTCTTCAACGCCTTTAACAATGGCATAAAACGCACTTTGCCCTAGCCTTCTTGAAGACGCCACCAATAATTAAGTATCATGAATACAAACTTTTGTTACAGTATTTCATCATGAGCTGACATTGGTTAGAGAACCATTAGAAAACCTGGGAGTACTGGACAGCTGTTTCGTCCTCTTCAGCAGTACGCACTTGCCCTATTCAGGTAGGTAGTTACCTGGGATTCTAGTGAGAAGTCGTGACCAGTACGGTGCACCAGGTCGGGTGTGAGGAGAAATAATCGCCGAAGACATCGACTAGGGGCTGCGCTATGTAGTGAATTGGCAGAAGTTAGAATTCATGGGCTGTCCATTGGATCGGATCCCAGTCGCCTAATGGTATACGAGCTAGCTCGCCTTGTAACCAGAAGTTCCTGGGTTCGAACCCCGGTTGGTTCGGAGTACTGCTGAAGAGTCCCAAATTAGGAAAATCGAAACCGCTTTCCCGAACTCCCAGCTGGTTTTCCAATGGTTCTCTAACCAATGTCAGCTCATGATGAAATCTTTTAATTAATCAAATGCCCACAAACCAACACTTGAACAAACTTTTATTTTATTTCGTCGTCTTTTTGTATTTAAAGTGTGTGTTATACCAAGATAGGTAACATGTGGAGCGGTGCACATTGTTTTAGCTCATAAGAAACTCAATGAAGTAAATGCCCAGCAATTTAGTCATCAAAACCAATAACTAGTAGACGTTAGCAACAAGATTTCTAAGTTTTAAAGGAGAGGTGAAAATTAATTACGAAATTCACGACAAGCTGATTCTTAGGCGTTGGCAACAAGTTACACATAATCAAGAAATGTGTAAAGTAGCAATGATGACTGAGAAGAATAGGACGACTCAGAGGAATTACGTAAAATACAAAATAGTTAATAGAATTAGCTAGGATTGTAAAAATTAACACATTTAAATGGTTAATATTGTGGTTTCAATTAGATCGCATTAGGCTTAACTCTAATATACATAAGTTTACAAATAAAAATCCAAATATAAACCAATCATGGTGTTTTGTGTATAGGATAATAAGATGGTGAATATAAATTGTGCAATTTGTCATAATAATATTAATAATAATAATAGTTTTATCAATCATAAGGATGAACAAGTGAGGTAATCTGTGATAACACGAATAACGAGAAACAGTATGATTAAACAAACAGTTTGTTCAGGTGAACACAGTAGTCGATAAAGGCTGGTAAAAACAAATGAACCGATTAAGTAATGCTAGACTGTAAGGGAAGGAAATGAGACACGTTTTTAATGAAGATGTGATAAGATTAAGGGATGATAAGAAAGTTGAAGTTATTAGTTAGTTATGTCCTTAATAGGCCAAGGGAGGGATAATGGCTGTACGAACCTATTTTGAATGCATAGTTTAGATTTAAATGCCTATCGCCTCAGCTGTGTTCAGTAGATGAATACGAAGTCTACTGGAAAGATTCGGTGGGGTACGATGAATTACTTTGAAAGTTCTCTTTTTCTCCATTACATGACCACTATCAACTAAATGTGACAGAACTGAGCTACGGGTTGTTATTTTCTGTCCTTTGCCAAACCAGGATGAGCGATATTCACCGACATGTTGGCTAAGCTGTCTGGTAGTACGCCCAACATAATTGTCACCGCAGGTGCAGTTGAATTGATAAATGTACATAGATATCATTAAACCATCTAACTTATCCTTCCTTTACGTCCCAATCATTCGTCGGCCAGCGAATGGCAAACATAGGTGTGCTGCGTTAAACGTTCTCCGTATACTCCGTGAAATTCTTTGGAATAGAATCTCACTTGATAAGTCACCATTAAATTGTAACTTAATAAATGTAGGCTTTTTACGTGCTGTCAGAGTCTCAGGTTTTTCCTCTGATGTTTTCATACGTGTCTTTATGAAACTACTCAGATAGCTCATTTCCGTCAAAGAATCGTGAATACATTCAAATTTCACTTTAAAAGATGTCATCCGTACATATCTTTCTTGTTCTGCTCGTTAGACCTCTAGAAACATTTCTTTTATATTTAATGGGCACGCAACTAAGGGAGTGTGTGAATTGCCATGTGGATGTGCTTTTTTTATACACGCTTCTCCCAAGTGACCCATCTTCTCGCCTACTTAGCAAGACATCCAGAAAATGTATTTTATTCTCCTGCTTCACTTCACAAGTAAAGGTAAGCGAAGGGTGGATGTTGTTGAATTTCAGCAACAATTCGTCTATGTTAACATTTTCATCAGCTAAGATAAATGTATCATCGACATATCGGTAATATATATCAAACTTCTCGGTGGTGAGATCTAAGTGAAAACAATACTGTTCGCTTAAATGCGTTGTTCAAAACTACTAAATGATATCATCCCGAGACGCCTTATTTAAACTTATCAAAGGGACTGACTGTTTCAACATTCAATACCGTCTTTCCAATAGTCTTCGTCTCCTTTATACAATCATACCTTTACGTTCCTAGTGGAACATAGGGCACTTCAAGCTAGAGGCTTGAAGTTTCGGTAGCAGTGTTTATTTTTACGGGAAGGGGTTGCTAGCCTCATTCCCAACGTTCCCTCTTTGCAAGCCCTACTACCGGCTTAGCTAGGTAAGGGAGTGCGTTGGTGGCCGGGGATCGAACTGTTGGTCAAAGTCTGCAACAAGCTGTTGGAAATCCTTTTCGTGACAGATACACAGTGCAAGTTTCTGACCTGTATAGAAGGACTGACTGACTGACTTCACACAGAATCCGAATATTGTCCCTTGTGGTGCTGAGGCGGAATGCACAAGATTTCCAAATTGATTTCAGGTGGATGTAGGCGTGTGTATCTTGCCTTTCCGATTGTGGCTGGCTTCGACATCTTCATCTATTCTACTGGCTGTGGTTGAAATCCTGCTTCCTATCCGGATAAATGAAGGAGGTAACCTCTGTTAAATCTCTCCGTTGGTGGTGATTAGTGCCGGTTGTTGTGGTGGTGGTGGTGGTTCGTTGGTTATCTTCATCAACTCCATCTTCTCTATTTTCATTTGGAGTCCTGTGTTAGCTGCTTCTTCAGACAGCTTGTTTATTTTCGCCTATGAGTCTTCGAGTTTGTGTGACATTAGACACATATCGTGTGCGAAATCCAGATCTTCTAGAGTCTTCTTATTGGTCACCGCAGCGTATTCCTGACTCCTTGCCCCCAACTGGCTGACGCATAATCCAATCCACCAAAATTAAGAATATCATCGTTGGTGTGACAATAGGCAGTCAGCCTTGCCTTACTCCTGCATGCACTTTTAACGCCCCACTGAGTTTTCTGTTATGGATCATGTGACACGTGTGTCACTCTCATATAGCCAGTTGTTGAATGAGGTTGACAAAGACTTTGAAATCTACATTGAAATTACCTTTTCTTAATTGTCTAATAATCTGTAATTTATGCATTAACCCAACTATTTTTTTATTTTTATTTCTCTGCTCATTTGAAAATATGCTTCACATACACACACACATGCACTCACGTGTACACATGTGAATCTAGCCTCTGATTCAGAAAGTGAACTAACTTCGAATACGCATTTCGGTGAAAAATTAGACTATAACAGTTTTGCTGATATAACAGAGACTGTAAATCAGGTTAGTAGTAATTATGTTGTTATAACTTTGATTTAATTCATCCTTCATCTCTCTATAGTGTTTATTGTTGTGTATTTTGTATATATATGCGTGTTTTGTATTGCTCATAATCATATAATAACAGCTGGTATTCTGTCGAATTGAATTTGTTTTGAAAAAAACAGAACGCATTATTCACATGTCTGTATAGTCTGACACAACACACACACACATGTGTGTGTGAGAGAGAGAAACGGTGATTGGATCATTTCGCCTTCGTAAAATAAAACAAAAATTTAATTATGCATGGTCTATGAGATACCGTCTGTGTAAACAGTTAGCATGCATGCGTACAAAGCCAATTTGTAGTCCAATCGACGATACTAATATACTAATGTTGAATGTAGCGACAATTCCTATCATCCAATGAAACTTGAACATGTGAATTTATTATTTTTTGTTTTTTGAATTATTATTATTATTACTTATTATTTTTTCACATTTTGGCACTTATTCAGTCATGTTATCTGATGATGGTGTGATATTTTTTTCCCATGAAAAGATGTCATTTTAATTCAAACACTAAAACACAACGGGTATTTTTGCGTCAAACTTTTTGTCTGCTTTCTTTTTTTCTTTCTTTCTGTTTTCGTTTGAATTGTTGAGATCAGTTACACTGTCACCTATTGTAAAATGATAATTTTGTGTAAGAATTTAATTTAATTTTTCGTTTATATTGATGTGAAGCATAGCATTCCTGTGGAATTGTCAGATGACGCTACACGACTGCTGCACCGGACTGGAGTACATTGACTCCTAGCTTAAAGATAGAGACAGGTAGTGATTAGGAGTTTGCGGAGCGTGTTGACCACTTCACTTATTTCGGGGAGTTGTATCAGCCAACGCCAACGGGTTGGTCGCTGATGAGGTCTCAGCACGGATACAGAAGGCTCGTCTCTGGCTAAGTAGACGTGATATCCGACTGGTTATTGACCAAAGGGCGTGTGTATGTGTGGGCTCAGCAGTCAGCTCCGTCCTCCTTTATGACTGTGAGACTTGACCATTGAAAGTGGAAGACATGAAAAGCTAGGCTAACTGTCTTTGATCATAGGTGTCTGCATTCTATCTCCCGTGTTTAGGGTGAGTAATATTGAGGTTAGGTATCGAATGTTAGGTAAGGGGGAAAGTAGGTCACTGAGGTAGGTATATTGTGAAGCTACATCTATTGAGGTGGCTAGGAAATGCGTTACTGCATGCCCAGTCATCCATCCTCTTCCTCAACGAAAGGTTGGAAAAGACCTAGTGGTGGTCAAAATAAAACTTAAAATGAGCCCATAAAATCTCTAACAGTTAGTTTGAATCACGTATGGAGGTAGGTGTAGACTACCTAGTTGGCACCTCGGGGATTCTATGAACAAATGGTTGCTGGTAATTAGTGTTAAGGCTCGAAATATTTCCCAGTAGTGCAGATGCATTCACTCCTTATAGTCTGCCATATTGTTTTTCAATGTTGTCATTTCTTTCTTCCTTAATTTTCTGCTTGTTATCATACTTTCGAGTCTATTTTCTTTTTAATTTGTCTGTCTTTTTGCGCTGCATAGAGTGTGGCAACTCGAACTGGTTCACTTCTTTTTGCTAAGTTCTGTGTTGAAACCGGCTATTCTGTAAATGCTGGTTTTCTTTTAATTCCACTGTTGTTACTCTATTGAACGTTTGTGCAGTAGTAGCAGTAGTCTTTTAATAATGTTCAGATACTTTTTGTCTACGACAAAAGACACTAGTGTCTTGGTGTATTTTAATGTAATTCCATTGTTTCTACTGGAGTCTATTATTATGTAATCTTCCTAAGAATGATGTGAGTCCATACTCTAAGATAAAATGGCTTAATTAAAAAGTCAGATTATTATTTAATATGGGTTATTGGCAAGCGTATTTACACTTTAGAGTTTTATAGTAGGCTGGAATAATTGCCAATATGTGTATTGTGGCATTAATAAAGCCTCATCTGAGATCTGAGTTCTCATTACTATCATCTATTCACCTTTATTTGTTTGAACATTATTATTATTGTTCCCTTGGGTTCCTAGTGGAACATAGGGATTCAACTGCACGTCTCCACTTGCTTCTCTCTTCCTTCTGCTGTACTTTTCAACTGCATCCATGTTAGTCCGTACTGTTTCAACTCCTCTCTCTTCACACGATCTCCTCCATATCACCCTTGCACTGACGTCCCACTCGCCGCGTGCTTCACTTTCGGCCTGGTTCCACTCGAGCATTGGCCTGACGCGCGCACGATGTCACCCAGCGGTGGCCTCCTCAGCGAGTGAGTGTCCAACCCATCTCCACGTTCTCCTGCATATTTGCTGGTTGGCGATTGGTTCTTGTTTTGTTTGTTCCCATAGTTTCTTGTTGGTGATTCTTTCCGGACCGGCCATCTGATCTTCAGTATAGAGCCAGCGAAGACAGCTAGTTGTTGATAAAGGTCTGGTTTGCAACAGGCTGTTGGTGGAAATATTCCTTGTGACCCGCCCGCCAAGTTTCTGATCCGTATAGAAGAACTGACTGACTTGACGTTTGTATTGAAAATCCGAGTGAACTTTGTTGTTGATGCTGACTGAGTGATGAAGGTTTCCAGATTGGTTGTTTCAGATTGATGAGTGTGTTTCTCGCTTTCCCGATTCTCGCTCGATTTGACATCTTCATCCGTTCCGACATTCTGTAGTTGAGACAATGCTCCCTAGATAAGTGAGTGAATGAAGTAAGCTCTTTCGAATCCCCCCGTTGATGGTGATTGGCGCTGGATGTTTCTGCTGTTGTTGTTGGTTGTTTGGTTGTTTATTTTCATAACCTCCGTCTTGTCTATGTTCACATGGAATCCAATTTGTCGGTTTTCGCTTGCCCTCAATACATTTAACCCTACTTCGAAAATATGGTGGAGATATGTGGATGACACTTTCACAGTGTTAAAAACAGAACACATCTCTAGCTTCTTGACACACATAATCTCACAAGTTGAGGGAATAAAATTCACATTTGAATCAGAAAATGAACAAGGAGAATTAGCTATGTTAGATTGTAAGATAAAAAAAATAGAAGGCAAACTGCACACTAGTGTTTATAGAAAACCAACGCATTCTAATAGATATTTAGACTTTAATTCGTCTCATCCTTTAACTGTTAAGGCAGGCTTAGTTAAATGTTTAACAAACCGAGCAGTGGCACTAAGTAGCACAAAAAAAGATCTAAATGATGAATTAAAACAGATAGAAGAAGCGTTGGTGTTGAATAACTATCCTATAAAATTCATTAGGAAGATCATTAAAGGCCAAAAACAAAATAAAAATAATTGTGAAACTAGTAATAATAACATAAATAAGAAAGAATATAAGTCATCCACAGTTATACCATATAAAGAGGGGACATCTGAGACCCTACGTAGGATTCTAAATAAAGCAGGAATTAGGGTGGCATTTAAACCTACAAACTCACTCGGGGACAAGCTCTATAGGTTAAAGGACCCAGTTGACCCAATTAGACAAAATAATAATAATAATTATTATTATTGTATCCTTTAGTTCCTAGAGGAACATAGGGCTTCAGCTGCGCGCCTCCATTCCCTTCGGTTTTCTGACAACTTTTTCACCCTGCTCCAGGTCTCTCCACATGCTTTCATCTCCTCCTCGCATGACCTCCTCCAAGTCACCCTTGGACGACCAACTCGCCGCCATGTTATGACTGTGAGGTCAACTACATAGGTCAAACTAGTAGGTCAGGGGTAGTCAGATTGTCCAAAAATGAGAATTCCGCTAAGGTAAGAATGGTTGACCCCGAGAAGACAAGTAATTTAGAAAAAAGCTTAGCATTAATTGCACTGCATGTATAATAACACACAACCATACAATAGGGTGGTGTGAGATGGTTGAAATTGTAATAAGTAATCTAGGTAAGTGGAGAGAGAGGTTGATTACTGAATCTTTGTTCATCGAGTCTACATCCAACACATGCAATAGGAATGACTCGTCACTCATGCCTGAAATATGGAAAATACTATTACCAATCAAATCAAGTGAAAATCAAGAGAAAAACAATGGAACTATATAAATGAATTTAGGAAGTCGTGTGATTACCTTGATATGATTATGAGCAATAAATTGTGCTCAAAACGTGGTCATCAGTAAACATTACTGTATAACACTGTGTGACTTTATCAAAACAAAATTTACCCATAATGGAATTACACTCTACCACAGTGCACAAGTTTTATTCTTATAAAAATGATATGTTGCCTGGCCCTTGTTTTCTGTTGTTACAGGTACATAGGTCGTTGTATTTGCGTCCTTCCAAAACGTGTTAGAGGACATTACCCAGCGTGGCTGCAATGAGGAGGCACCGGTTCAATCAGAAGTGCTATTTATTGAACATCTGACCAACACCTCCCACAACATCTCAACTAAATTTTTGTACAAAATCAACATTATTTTTCCTCCACTTTTTTTCTCTCGTACCGTTAACCTCCGATTTTTTTTTGTCATTGCTTTTTAGTTACCTGTCAATACACATGTTAATGGAGTACATCTACCAGACACAACATGCAAGTTTAAACCGAAAAAGTGTACATGTGATCGTTCATTTTTATCTAAAGATAATGAAACACCTACAAGTATGGATACAATGTCGTCATCAGTTGGCGAATCATTGAATTCAACAACAAACACGCCTAATCATCATTTGAATGGGGATACAGAAGTCATTGATATATCAAGCGATGAAGACGAATCAAATAAATCAGTCAATGGAAATGAATGGTCTCATCTACTTACAGGCGGTGTTGGTGGTGTTGGTGGTGATGGGGATGGGGATAATAGTTATCCGAATTTTTCGGGAAATCGAACACGCGTTAAACGATGCAGTAAATGGAGTTGTGGACCAAGAGGTTATCGTGTTCTATCACTCGATGGTGGCGGGATTCGTGGACTGATTATTGTACAGATACTTCGAGCTTTAGAAATTGCCAGCGGGAAAAAAGTTACAGAATTGTTTGATTGGATCATTGGTAATACTTCCGTTTTTGTTCTTTTTTGCTTTTTTAAATATAAAAACTCTTTTTGTTCGAAATTAATATGAGAATACGATTGTGTAATTTGTTTTTCATCATATGAGTAGCATAAGCATAAACTGAAAGGGATGTATGATGAATCATATGTTTGTCTTAGGAAAATTTGGTGAACCTGTAACAGTAGAAGACAGCAGAAGTATTCGATAACGGAATTAATTATTGTCATCTTGGTATATATATATGGTGCGTCGGTGGCACAGCGGTTAGGACTCTTGCCGATCATGCACATGGTCTGAGGTTCGATCCCCTGCCGACCCACACCTCATATCTATGGTCGGCCTGCAAAATTTGGGCTACCGATATCGCATGCTGAAAATTCCATACCTGTACCAGAAAATAGTACGGTATGGAATCAAGCTGTAATAAACACATACTCAAATATGCGAATCGATAAAAGGAACACCAAAGGGATCATCGCCCATATCAAAATTAATAGCTGAAGCCGCCATGCAGTGATTAGAATCAGTAACTCTACCTATAATTAAACTAAAAGTCTGGGTACGTTACGTTGATGATACATTTGTAATAATTAAAAGAAATGTAATTTGATATATACACATAAATAAGTAAACAACATATTAAAGGACATCAAATTGACAAGAGGACAAGAACTAGGTAACAAAATCCCATCTTCAAATTTCTCAATCAGGAGAACTAACACAAGAAATTTAGAAACACAAGTATATAGAAAATCAACGCAGTCACACTCACAGATCAAATACTCAACCGTAGTAGCGATATCCCAATTACCCACAAAAGAAACTGTGTGCAGACATTGTTTCAAAGAGTTCAGACATACTGTAGCACTCTTGTGTTGAAGCGAATGCAGGAAAAATACCTACTAATCATCTTAAAAAAGAATCGATATCCTCACAGTTTTATCAAAAAGTGTTTAAACTCGAAGTGATAACACCAACAGCAAGTCAAAATTAAAGACCACAAGAAAATTAATCCTAGCATATATAAAAAATATCTCTGAAATAACAGCTAGAAAATAAAGATCGTTTGAAATCGATATAGCACACAAGCCATGCAGCACAATCATTTCATTCGATTATTGTCCAAACTAAAAGATAAAACAGAAAAAGAAGATAAAATTAATACTATTTACAAAATAAATTGTATGAGGGTGTAACAGAAATTTTAAACCGAGGAAACCTTAAATGTGCCAGAGAATTCCTAGAAGCCTGGTACTCAAACGAATATGCGAATAACTGACATGTTAATATAAACGAAAAAAAAGTAAATCATCTAACGAGAAGGTTTACAATCCAAGTCAATAAAAAGCGATCAATACAGATGTAAAGATGGTTACCAGGATTTCATCAATGCTTAAAGAAATTTAGCATAAAATCTTGCATACTGCATAACTTTTTATCTCTGATCTCATCTCTGTTCATTGAATAAATAAGTCAATTCCCAATGAGTAATAATCATTTGCATATTGGATATTTAAAATTTTGATTGTTTGGCCTATTCGTTAGGAGAGTAGATGAACGCCTCGATCAACAACCCTCTAGGGTGAGTTCGTCTTTTGCTGAATACTGATTCTTGTATTTACGAATACTGAAACTAAAGTGCCCTATATTCTTAATTCTCCTATTAATGTGTATTCCCTGAGAGGATGTTCTTGATTGAGATATGTGGAATTGTATTGTGATCGCCCAACGTTTGCTTTTCTTACGATGATGAAATTTGTGCACTTTAAAGTTTCTCATTTGTGATCTAAATACTTCAATGGTTAAATAAATATACAAGTCCACTTTAATTACCTTAAGCTATTTTACAAGACTTTTAGAAGCAACGAAACGTATAAAAGAAGAGGAGGAGTCTTGTCGATTACATTCAACAGTTCTACTCACATTTTACCGCTTCACAATTTACTTCTCTTAACGTAGGTAATGCTAGATAGTTGGAGGCATTCTTCATTCAGGAAGCCCACTCTGAACTAGGTTTCTTGCTTCTTGGCACACACACGCACACACCAGTCACCCAGGTATGTATCTATCTCCAACCTTGTAGAAATTCATGTCCTTCCTGGGATTTCAACTCGTCTTACCCCCAGTGATACAGTCAGAGACGTTACCATTGAGCTATTCTGTGTAGTATTGACTGTATTGAATACTTTGATTGGTTTCAAGTGTTGGTTTGTAGGGATTTGATTAGTTACAGGATTTCATCGTGAGCTGACATTAGTTAGAGGACCATTGGAAAACCTGGGAGTACTGGATAGTGGTCTCCATCGTCCTAATTTGGGACTCTTCAGCACTACGCACCCACCGGGGTTCGAACCCAAGAACTTCTGGTTACAAGGCGAGTTAGCTCGTATACCATTAGGCGACTGGGATCCGATCCAATGGACAGCCCATGAATTCTAACTTCTGCCAATTCACTACATAGCGTGACCACTAGCCAATGTCTTCGGCGATTATTTGTTCTCACACCCGACCTGGTGCACCGTACTGGTCACGACTTCTCACTAGAATCCCAGGCAAATATCTACCTGAATAGGGCAAGTCGCCAGTGAGCATCTCATCGATATTCAAGTGTTGGCTTGTAGGGATTTGATTGGTTACAGGATTTCATCATGAGCTGACATCAGTTAGAGAACCATTGGAGTCCCGGTGGGTGTGTACTGATGAAGAGTCCCAAAAGAGGATGAAACAGCTGTCCAGTACTTCCAGGTTTTCCAGTGGTTCTCTAACTTATGTCAGTTCATGATGAAATCCTGTAACTTGGATTGGATATTAGGTTTTCACCACTGGCTAATGCGTCTAGTGCTTTGTTTAGCGTAGACTGAATTCTGTCACAGTCAAGTTTGCAATGTGGCCACCACCGTGCCACTGGGTACTGGGTAGGTGGCATCTGACAGCAACAATTCTGACTGCACTGCACCGTGGTAGCGAGCCAGTAAACAAAGGACGATACACACATGGTACTAGTTTAATTACTCTCTATCTAGTGTTCAGTCAAAATGTAGTAAAACTTCTTTAATTAGTAAAAAATGATATTTGTAAATTCCCAGCGAGATTAAGATTAGTAATTCCAACGTTTCGTTCGGCAATTTGGTCCGAACTTCCTCAGAAAAATTAATCGAAATTAACATAACAGAGGTTTATATATAAAAAGAACATCTCTTGTTTTTCAAAAACCTTGTCCAATCATGAGTCATAAAACAGGTATTAACAAGTATAGTAAACAAAATTGTATGAGTTGTGATGAAAATTTGACCTCGGACTTACAAATATTGGTCTACTTTTGTTAAACACTTTAAACACAGTGTGTTTGTAAGTGTGGGTAAGCAGTTGTAAAATATTTGTTAACGTCTCCATAAGAAGATATAGACAATCGGGAATTTTGACCAAGTATTATTAATTAATTAGTGATACATATCAATTCATATTTATTTATTAATCAGGATTTCCTATGCATCAGCTAACAAGATCACCCCTTTATCTCTGTTCACACTGTTAATATCTGGAATTTTATGATTAGACGTATTTTCAAAATTATGGTGTTTAGGATTAGAGTTTAGTTGAAGCACCCTGTCAAACGTATTACTTTGTCTTCTTTTTGAACATTGAGCTGCTTTATTCGACCTACTGGATTTGTCAGGTGACTCGACAGCTACGGACTTAGGATATGCATTCTGTTGCAGACGACAGAGAGTGAAAACACGATGATTGTGCCAATTACATAGTTTGTTTATTAGTTGAATTCGTTTGGTGAGGTTTTACAAATATAATTTTCTACAAAGGTTTACACTTCTCACTCGTCGCTCAAATATTTTAGAACTATTCTGTCAAATCTTGACGACAGTTCATTTGTAGTACTTTAATTATTGCACCTCCCCCCCTTCCGGACTTATTTTTAAGGATGCAATGTTGTGTAACATTCTGTAACATTTTAGCAAATAAGTTTTGCTAACTTATGTGTTCTGTTTACCGATTGATTGATTGGTTTTCTAGGCACATCGACTGGTGCAGCAATATCATTATTCATGACATGCGGTAAATGTCTACCCTGTTGTCGTAGTCTACTATTCCGATTTAAAGATCTTGTATTCTGTGGAAAACGACCGTATCCATCTGAAGCGTTAGAAACACTAATGCGTTATGAATTTGGTGAAAACACTGTTATGACGGATTTAAAACACATCAGGTGAACTAATTTTTTTTTAAACTGGATTTGTTTTATGTAAACTGTTGACGTTTTCTTTTCTTTTTCACCATAGTTATTGTCTATCATGGTTGTGTGTCAGTTCAACTTGAAACTTTGCCTAAACTTGCATCAACAGTACAACAAGTGGCTACAAGTCAAAGTGTAACAACAGAAGACAAGTACCAGGCAACACAGCCTGTTTACTGAGGAAATCAACAGATATTTATAGACTTTTATGTACATTATTAGACGAAGTTAAACAATAGCGTCCCAGGAGTGTGAATGCTCCAGTGACCTTGAATACATGACAACGTCCATTTCACGTTTGAAGGCGAACATTTTCGACAAGTAGATGGCATTGCTATGGGGAGTCCATTAGGACCTTTGTTAGCGGACGTGTACATGTCTTATGTTGAAAACTTATGCCTTGATTTAATTTCAAAATTGCCCTTTTATAGGAGATATGTAGATGATATCACTTTGACATGTGACGATCATGAAGATGCGAGTCGCCTATTAGACAGGCTTAACTCTGTACAAAATCATATTAGTCTTACATGTTAGGAAGAAAGTCGCAACCAGCTAGCATTTTTAGACATACTTCTTAGTCGAAGAGATGATGGCTCAATAAGACGGTCTATCTGCAGAAAGCCCACTTCGACAGGGCAATGCCTTAATTTTCACAGCTTCTGTCCATTACAGTATAAGAGAGGCTTGGTGAAGTGTCTATTTAAGAGGATTCAGCGTATTTGCACGGTTGATGTTATAGACAAGGAAAACGAAATGTTAATGGATACTCTTGTTGAAAACGAATATACTTTAAAATTTTTAAACAGGTGTAGAAGTCAACTAGTGTCTAAACCTACAATCCATACCGTCCCTAAGAAAAAGACTTTCATTAAATTACCATATAACGGGGAAATAAACAGTAGGATTGTGAGACAAAGGTTGAATTCAATCATCCGTAGAACCTACTATGCAGCCCAGCTTGTAATTGTGGAGAAAGCCAAAAATATGCTTCACTGTAAACCCCAAAAGTGCACAAGTGATTATATCACATCCCATACAATGTACCTATTTTCGTGTATGTGTGGACATACATACATAGGGAGGAGTAATCGCGCTTTGCACGTGAGGGTGGGAGAGCATATCCCAAAATGGTTAGAAAAACAGATGAATTGTGACAAGCTAATAGATGCAGGTGGCAGACTACCAAATTCGTCTATAGCTGAACATCTAATCGAGATGAACCATGAGATTGATGTTAACTCAGCCTTTAAGGTCATCTATAAAAACGGTCAAGGGCGTTTACTGAAATACGCTGAGGCTATAGCTATTCATAGACTTAAGCCCCCCTTGTGTATTCAAAAACAGTTCGTCATTACTCTTAACCTACCTTGGTAATCCTTATTTGATTGGATTACCAAACGTTTGTGTTAATTATTCTTAATTCCGTTTTCTCTCACTTTGTTTAATTTGACCTTTCTATATATATTGACTTGACAAGTAGATGTGTGATCAAATTGTTCGAAATGTATAGCGCTAATACATCACATTTTTCAGATAGTCTCCGTCTTCTAATAACGCTATCAAAATTTATAAAAGGGACTAATTGTTTTAAACATTCTAATCGTTGGCTAACGGCAGCTGTCGTTATCATAGGTGAAATATCAACGCTATTCACCAACTATGGAGCAAATTTCACCCAGATCACGTTTTTAAGTACTGTTTGGACAATGTGTTAATAGGATTAGGGCTAAGGTAAGTATTCAGGTTAGGTTTAGAATCAGGGTTATAATTAGCACTAGGGTTAGAATTACGGTTTAGATAAAGGTTATGCTTAGGACGAGGATTAAGGTTAGGTTTAGTGTTAGAGTCAGGATAAAGCTTATGGTTACGATTAGGGATAGAGTTACAGTTGATGTCATTTATTTTAATTTGTTTAATTATCCACGTTTTCCTGGTAAGTAGTCATCTATCCTCTTGGTGGAAACCATAACAAAAACAATTTATCTGTAGTCATCTCGCTGAATACATGTACAGAAACTAGTCTAACTTAGCAACTGATACTCCTCGTTATAACTAGGACGTATTTTTAAGTCATGTCAGAGAAAGATAGATAACCTGTTCAATGCGTTTTCAAGCGTTTTCTTGTCAATATACATCATTTTTTTTTGAGCAAACATTCCTCATTTTTACTATTGGTCAACTGAAGATCACTCGTGGGTTGGCACTCCTTGAACTCTATTGTTGACCTTTGCCCATTATTATTCGTTATGGTTAGCAGAGAAGCAACGTCTTCTGATTAGTTGTTTTCCTGCTGAAGGTTATTCTGTCATCTGTTTGTTGCCGTTTCTTAGACGGTCTAGTGATATATATGTGCTAATCGTATCCACCCACGCTAAGTCTGCTGTGATTGGTTGTTGAGTTCCCCAAGGTTAGGCTTTGTTCTTGTTTTTTCCCATGATAATGATTTGGGACGTAAACAATAACGTTAATTTTTGTCTACATTTTTGGCTAGCAGATAGCGCTCACCACAGAAAAATTTTATAAAAATTGGAAAAAATAAATACTAGCATAGAGAGATGGGAGTATTTATTAACTTAGAATTAGTAAAATTGTTCAGAACATAGAACATAAATTCGCTCCATGGTGTTAACAGTTTGAGATCGCGCCACAAATACTTCCCAATCATTGACAATAATGTTACCAGGGTGTAATCTCCTTGACTTGGAATATGCGTGCTGATAATATCGTCCTTCTAGGTGAAAACGCTCATAAAATTCAGAGTCTTCTGAACACTTTGAGGAGCAGCAATCTTCGAACGTTTGGCTTGCGAATCTCTTCTCTTAAATGTAAAATGATGCTTTAGGTTTGGACTGGAATACATTGACTCCTAGCTTAGAAATAGGGAGTGAAGTGGTTTGTGGAGCGCGTTTTGACCACTTCACCTATTTGGAATGTTGCACCAGCCAGTGCCAAAGGGTTGATTGCTGATTGAAATCTTAGAACGGATACAGAGAACTCGTTTGGCATATGCCAATGTACGCCGTTTCTGGCGTAGACGTGATATCCGGCTGGTTATTGACCAAAGGGCGTGTGTACTGCTCAGCGATTCGCCTGTCCTCCTTTATGGCTGGCTGTGAGACCTGGCCATTGAAAGTGGGAAGACATGAAAAGCTAGGCTAGTTGTCTTTGATCACAGGTGTCTCCACTCCATCTACCCCCACGGTAGTCTAATACAGTGAGTAATACTGAGGTTTGGTATCTAGCGTTAGTTGAGGGAGGAAACGAACCGATGAGGTTGTGAATTTACATCGATTTACGTATGCCTTGCCATTGCCTTCCTCGACGGGCAGTGTCAGCTGACTGACATAGACACGATCAGGTTGGAAAAGAGCTAGCCAGTGATGGTGGTGGTGGTCAAACCAAGACGTGACTTCATCAGTTAATGAAATTCACAACAGTTAATTTAAGCCATGTAGGAAGGCGCAGACTTCCTGGTTGATGTCTTCGGGACGGTAAAAGTCAATGAAGACTGGAGACAATCGCTGATATGGCTCAAAATCGTTCTCAGTAGTACAGATATATCCATATTACTATTCTTTTTGCCTTATATCTCTGTCTATTATCTCGCATTACTCTCTTCTCTTGCTTTGTGTGCTAAGTGAAGTGTGTCGACTGGAACTGCTGCACATCAGTGCAGAGCAGTTGTACTTTGAAACCAGTCAGTCACTGATAATAATAATATAACAGTAATGCACTTAGAATGCGGAGGTTGGTAGTTCGAGTCTCTTTCGGAACATGGATTATCCCAGTGTCTGAATGGTTCACGAATTCGCTTTGTGACTGGGATATCGTGGGTTTGAATTCCGATGGATGCATCTCCAAACTACGACAAAACATCTGTCTAGCTCTCTTCATAGTCCCTCTAAGCGTCGATACTTCTGTGGTAGGACATTCACCAACCACCCTAGTGGTCTGGGGTTCGATCCACGACCGACACACTCCTAAACCTCACTATGTAGACAGAAAGAGGAGGGAAGTTTGTGAGTGAGGCTGGCCGACTCCACTCCGTGAAAAGAAACACTACTGCTAGTGAAACTTCAAAGCTAAAGCCTGAAAGCCTATGTTCCACTGGGAATCTAAGGGAATAAAATTATGTAACAATTTCATACGCACATTAATTCATACTGAAGAATAATCAGTGTACATTCTATTGTGAAGTATCTACACCGTTCACGGAATCTTCAAATAAGTTAATAAATAATAATCGCTAAAAATATATCATATGAAGCAATGTTGTTCTATCTAAAGTCCATTCTGATAATCTGCGTTGCTTTTCCTTCGTTGTTTCTTAAAAACATTCATACTGGGAAGTTGAATCCTATTTGAAAATAGACATGAGTACAGACTCGGAATCAAAGATATAATTGGATGAATAAAACACCATGAAATAGAGGAAATTAGTTTCATTTTCATGGGATAGAAAAGTAGTTAGCCGAATGATTATTTAAGCAGGTCGGTTAGTTTCTTTGAAGATTCCAGCCAGACTGTGTACACCTACCTACCTACCTACCTACCTACCTACCTACCTACCTACCTACCTACCTACCTACCTACCTACCTACCTACCTCACACTACCTACCTACCTACCTGCCTAGTTTTGAACTTTGAATAACAATTTCATGTGTTGATGTATTGATGTCCTATTGCGGTCTGACTTCTGCTAACTAACTGTTCTTCAACTCAATTCAACTAATTAACTCTTAGCAACAACTAACAAGATGTGCCTTATACCCTTGTGATGAGTGACTTAGAGCGATAGTGCTTTACTTTATCCTGTTTTTTTTATTATCATGAAATGCGAGTGTATTTCTAAATATGAATACCTTAATGTCTCGACAGTAAAAAATGTAATTATACAGTTGCGTTGAAGAAGGTCTGTTGACTGTATTAAATTCTGCTTTATCATCCACTTCATTTGTGTATCTCTGTAAGTAAATGAAAAATAGTGATTTTTCTGTTCTAGACGCCAGTATTCCTAGAAAACCTACGGCTTCAAGCTAGAGGCTTAAATTTCTGGTTGCATTTGTGTTTATTTTTAACGGGGATGGAGTTGCTAGCCTCATACCCAACCATCCCTCATTACCAGTCTTATTACTTACTGGCTTAGCGAGGTAAATCAGTGCGTTGATGGCAGAGCGGTTGAATGATCGACAACTCGGTCGATGTCTTCCTTTTATTCCTATGGAATGGTACACATTTTCAGTTTGTCGAGTTTGAAGTTTTCTCATGAGTTATATCGTAAAGTCAGACGACTACAAAGTTCATTATACATGCAAGTAAGTTTGAAAGTCTAAGGAGAATATATGAATAATCGGGATTTTTTTTGTTCCTTTGCCTTTCCAATGGAATATAGGCCTTCAGGCTTGTACTTTTAAGTTTCAATAGTAGTGGTTGCTAGACTTACGCTTAGCCCTTCCTCTTTACCGGTCCGACTACTGGCTGAGCGAGCGAGGTTTAAGAGTCTATCAGCACGGAAAAGAACCCCGGGTTATGTGCTTGGTTGTCAAGTGTTTTACTGCTGAACCACTGACGCACAAAAAACCAAGGAGTACTGGACAGCTGTCCTATCCTAGTCTCGAAAATGTCTTCAGCAGTATGAACCCGGTCGACAACTGCGTTGGTTACCAGTTGGTCACCGATTTTCATAAATCCAAGTCTCTCCTACCTGCTTTTTCGTTAGCAAATATAAGCCATTGTTAAGTTGCATAACTTCTTAGGGTTTCAATTCAGTAAGATATTTTTCATCACCAAGGCAACGTTATGAAATAATCTGCATATCTTCATTTATTTTAAAATTAAAAGGGTTGCTGTGACTACACTTGTCAGTGATCGATGCCCGCCATTGTTGCACATGTTTCGAAATTACAAGTCTCCTCGTGCTCGTATACAACACATTATGGAGACACGTCAATGTCGAACGAAATCCTTTGCATATCCATCGAGAAGTAAAAAAAATAATGGGTTCACGCATCGTCGTTCTACTTCAGTTGTTCAAGAATCCTCAGATCGTGAAGCTCAATCCCCGAAATCTTCGTCTCTTTCAACTTCTCATTCCATTTTAAACTTTTTTATGAATGCCCAAGGTCTTTTAACAGGCAATGAAACCAATACTGGCCTTTCCACTTCTGATGTAGGATCGGGCGATCAATTTGAACGTATTCCTCCGGATAATGAGCAAGTAAGTTTTTATTATTTAGAAATATCTTTTCACTCTAGCTTGTTTTAGAGTAGGATAAGATGCCTGTACACAAACCTGTCACCTGTTTATAAACCTTTTTTCAACAGGTATATAACAGTGCCATATGTCAAGTTGTTCACAACGAAAAACTTAGCGATGCTTTTGAAGTGAAAACAGGTGTAAGCCAAAGCTGACTACTATCGCTAATGATATTCCTGATTTTTGTGGAGTGGATCATCCAACAAATCCTGCGGGATAGCTAGAAGGTGGACACATTTTATCGATGATGTTACAGGACTGGATTGGACTACACTGACTCCTACTTTAGAAATAGGGAGTGAAGTGGTAGAGCACGTTAACCGTTTCACTTATTTGGGAAGTACCATCAGCCAACGCCAACGGGTTGATCTCTGACGAAATCTCAGCACGCATATAGAGGGCTAGTTTCCACATACCAGTTTACGCCGTTTCTGGCGTAGACGTGATATCCGGCTAGCTATCGACCAAAGGGCGGGTGTACTGCTCATCAGTTCGCTCCATCCTTCTTTATGGCTGTGAGACCTGGCCACTGAGAGTAGAAGACATGAAAAGACTAGCTGTCTTTGATCTATTTCCCGTGTGAAGTGGTATAATAAGGTGAGCAATATTGAGGTTAGGCGTCGAGTTCTAGGTAAACAGGGGAAATCAATCGACGAAGTCGTGAAGTTACAAAGACTGAGATGGTTATGACATGTGTCACGCATGCCTAGTCATCGCCTTCCTCGACGAGAAATGTTAGCGGATATAGGGTCAGGTTGGAAAAAAGCTAGCGGAGGTCAAACAAAAACATGGGACCAATCAATGAAATCTACAACAGTTAGTCTAAGCCACGCAGGAAGGTGTAGACTTCCCGGTTGGGATCCTCGGGATGGTAGAAACCAACGGCTGGAAACAATTGGTGACATGGTTCAAAATCGTTCTCAGCAGCGCAGATGCATCCACTCCTTGTGACTTATGATTTCCAATAAACTGGTCTGTTCTCCGTTATTACTATTCCTTTGTCTCACACCTCTGTTTACTGTCTCTATTATGCTTTTGTTGTACTTTCTTCTCTTGCTTTGTGTGCTATATGAAGGGAGTGTGGCGACTTGAATTGCCGCACATTTGTGCAGAGTTCTAAGTCGAAAACAGACAGACAGACATTTGATCGATAGTAAGACTAGGAGATTTGAACTTCACTAACAATTTATTGGGAGGTGTGAATATAGATAGATTACAAGAGGCATAGCAGCAAAAAATTACACAGGATTAGAATATAATTGTAAAATGGTTATTCTATACGGATTAAAAGTGTGAACAGGAGGAGCATGGGAACAAACTTAAAATAACTTATTCTATAACTGAGAAAAAATGGAATGAGAGAAAAATACACACAGAGAGAGAGAGAACAAAACAAAGAAAACCTGAAGGATAAGGGAACATATCGAACTAGGTCCAAGGTAGTTGTAAAGGCTGGACTAGTTTCTTTTGAACACATAGCTCCGGCTTTTCGATGCATATGGCGAGAGCTTCCGCAGTACAAAGAAGTCGGAAACACACTGACTGTCTTTGGTAGGTTTTTGTTTACTTTGTAAATAACTCTGAATGTTGAGTCAGTTGAGATGCTGTGACAGATGTTGATGCGGTGTTCAGTTATTGCACTTCTGATTGAACCAGTGCCTCCCCTTTGCAGCCATGATGGGTGATGTTCTTTAACACGTTTTGATAAGACCCGCATAGAACGACCTATGTACCTAGCTCCGCAAGAGCAGGTGAACACATACACATTGAAGTGGTCATATGCGGAATCCTGTCCTTCCCGTCGCTCCGAAGTAGTGGGCGGCTAAAGAATATCACTCTTACAGTTGCTGCCGTAAAAGTCTTCTTCAAGTAATGGGAGATTCTCCTTTTAAGGATATCTGCTGCTAGGTCTCCTCTGAATTCCATATTCAAATAAAGTGTTTTCTTTGGCGCTGAAGTGTATTCTTCTATTGTTGGCCTTGGTTTCATGTTCTTCTCCACAAAACGCGGTGGGTATACATTTTGAACCAGGATGCTTTTGAGAAATCGGAGCTCCTCTTCTAAACAATCATCGCTGCAAATTCTTCTGGTACGGTGGGCTAGCGAGATGATGAGAGCTCTTTTACGGCTGATTGGTATCCAACTTTAGAAGTTTGTCGGTTGACTAACAATTTGTGTCAAATGTCACACAAACTAGGAGATCTACATGCGGGAAGCCAACAAGTTGTCAGTGGAAGCTGGCAGCGAAGACATTACTTCAAGCAAACTTAAAGAAGACACAGGTGATGAAGATGCGTAACCGACATCAACAACAACTAGCATCAGTCGCTATCAGCGGGAGAAATTTGAAAGAAGTTAACTTGATTCACCTACAGCAGAACGGAACGCATGCAGATGTCAAAGGCAGTATCGGAAATACAAGACATGAATTCATCACTGTGATGCCAATCTGGAAATTCACTGCAGTTTAAGCATAAGATTCGGATTTTCAACACCAATCTTGAGTCAGTCAGTTCTTCTATATATATGTCAGAAAATTGGCGTTGGAGTCACGAAAAGTATTTCCAATAGCAGTTGCCTTCACTGCCTGGATACTGAGGGTTAGACGGCCAGAAAGAATTGGCGACAAGAAACTGTTGGAATGAACAAACAAGGAGCCTATTATTATTATTGTTATATCCTTTGATTCCTAGAGGAACATAGGGCTTCAGCTACGCATCTCCGTCACCTTCGGTTTTCTGCCAACTTTTTCACCCCGCTCCAAATCTGCCCACATGCTCTCATCTCCTCCTCACATGACCTCCTCCAAGTTACCCTTGCATTGACGACCAACTCGCTGCTTCCCTTTCGGGTTCCACTCGAGGGCTTGTCTAGTGATGTCACTTGATGGTTTCCTCAGAGTATGGCCACAATCCAATCCATCTCCATTTCTTCCTGCCTATTTGTTTCACAATCGGTTCCTTCTCTGTTGGTTCTCTCATTGCCAGAGATCCCTGTTGCTGATCTTGAGTGAAATATTGAGCGAAGACAACTGTTAATGAAGGTCTGAAGTTTGTTTGAGATGCTCTTTATGACGCGACAAGTCTCTGATCCATATGGTAAGTAGCACTGACTTCACATTGGAGTTGAAAATCCGGATCTTATTTTTCATGCTGATTGATGTTGACCTCTACACAGACTTAAGAGTAGTGAAAGCTTGTCTTGCTTTTCCGATTCTGGCTTTGATGACCTCGTCAGTTCCGTCGGCCTGTAGTTGAATCGATGCTTCCCGTGTTGGTAGGTGAAGGAGGTTGTTTCTTTCAGGTTCCTCCCATTTATGCTGGCTGATTGTTGTCTGTTGTTGCTGTTGCTGTTGGTGTTGGCCAGGAATCTTCATCACCTCTGTTTTATCTATGTTCACCTGAAATCCTCTCTTCTCTGGATGCTTGTTCTGCCAACTTGTTGCTTTTCACTTGCATATCTTCCAGTTTGTGGGAAATCAGATATATATCATCGGCGAAGTCCAGATCCTCCTAGTTCTATTTTTGTGTGAGTCCATTTTATACCTGTTTCCCCATTGCCCGTTGTCTGTCGCACTATCCAATCTACTGCAATCAGGAAGATCATTGGCGATAGTAGACAGCCTTGCCACACTCCCGTCCTCACTTCGAAGGCTTCCGTAAGCTTCCCGTTGTGGATTACTTCGCATGCAGCATTGTCGTATAACTGTTGGATGAGATGTATAATAGTCGATGGGACCCCGTAGTAGCGAAGTAGTTTCCAAATGACCCCTCGATCGACGCTGTTGAAGGCCTTTTCAAAGTCGATGAAGTTGAGATAGAGAGGTGACTGCCATTCCACACTTTGTTCAATGATGATCCGTAGTGTGGCGATTCGATCAATACATGACTTGTTTCTAGGAGCCTACTGCTCAATTAATATTCTCAAGAAAATGGAGATGAATTCGACACAAGCTGAGGAGACTGTTGAGTGACATCGCAATCCCCTCATGGTCTTTTCTCGAGTAGAACCTGAATGGGAGACAACGAGATGGACATAAGCCCATGCGATGTGGAGACAGGAGCCTATGGACAATCGCGGGTGAAAAAGACTGCCTAGAAAAAGATGAAGTGGAGACGTTCTGTTGAAACCCTGTTTTACCTGGGAAATCTGATGCTCGCTGGCGACTGGCGGCTACAGAACAGAGTTTCCTGGAGCTCTAATGTGAAGTCGTGACCGGTGAGGTCCATCCAGTCACATGTTTGAGGATTGATTTCCCATCGATGACATCGGTTGGTGGTCGCGCCAAAATCACGAATTGGTAGAAGTTAGAATTCTTGGACTGACTGACCATTGACTCGGATCCCAGTGGCTGGTGAATGGTCTACGAGCCAGCTTGCCTTGTAACCGGAAGGTCCTGGTTTCGAACTCGTGTGGTGTTTGCGTACCGCCGATGATTCCCAAACTAGACCGAAGAAACAGCTGTCCAGTCAGTACTGCAGCGGTGGTTTTCAATGGTTCTCTAACTGATATCAATCCTTCGTCAAACTTGAAATAATTACAGTTGTCAATATAAATCAATATGTAAGAGGAGTTGAATAATGGTGTTAGAGTTACGTGATAAGATATTATTATTATTGTTCCCTTGGGTTCCTAGTGGAACATAGGGATTCAACTGCACGTCTCCACTTGCTTCTCTCTTCCTTCTGCTGTACTTTTCAACTGCATCCATGTTAGTTCGTACTGTTTCAACTCCTCTCTCTTCACACGATCTCCTTCATGTCACCCTTGGACTGATGTCCCACTCGCCGCGTGCTTCCCTTTCGGCCTAGTTCCACTCGAGCAATGGCCTGGCGCGCGCACGATGTCACCCAGCGGCGGCCTCCTCAGCGAGTGAGTGTCCAACCCATCTCCACGTTCTCCTGCATATTTGCTAGTTGGCGATTGGTTCTTGTTTTGTTTGTTTGTTTGTTCCCATAGTT